TAATGTATTTTTCAATAGTGATAATAATTTTAAGAATTTAACTAATTATATTGAAATATTAATGTATGTTTTCAATAGTGATAATAATTTAAGAATTTAGATATTATAGTTGAATAAGAAAATTAAAAGTCTTTTTTTATTTTATGTTCTATGATTTATTATAGAAATGATGTCTTTTAGTTTATTTGAAATATTAATATATTATACTTATTTAAGTATAGTGCATCTAACGTGTGGATATTCTACTTTTTTTAAATTTTCATATCGCCGTGATGATGTGTTGTTTTAATTATTTTTTGTATCTTTTTTTATTAAATCATATATCAAGAAAAAAAGAAGAAGTCGACTAATTTTTTTTTAGGAAGAACTTTGTTACTTTTTTATATAAAAAAAAAATATAATTAAATTTTTTCTGCTACAAATTTTATTTTATTGTAAGTTTTTTAATTTTCCTTCTAATTTGGAATGGAAAAAAATTATGGTAATTCCCTTATATTTCATTTTTTTATTTCCAAATAAAATAGCTTTTTTGCCTTATGTAATAGTTAATCTATGATTTTTTTATGTCCTCCAATATGATATTTATTTGAATTATTAATTATTTTTTCCCTTTATAATCTGCCATTGCAGGGATATAATTATTTTTTCCCTTATAATCTGCATGCAGGGTAATATTAAAATATGAAATAGTATTTTATAACATCATTTAAAAATAATAAAATTATATAATAAAATGATAAATTATATTTTATTAAGATATGCTGAAAAGTTGTGATGCTAAGATATGTTTTTTTAAGTATCACACGAAACTTTTCATAAGATATGCAATAACAAAAGTCATGTATGGTATGATTTACATAAAAAAATGTATACACACTATTAATATTTTTCAATAGCGATAATAATATTGAGAATTTAACTATTGACATAAGAAATTACGTATTTTTTTATTTTATGTTTATGACTATTATAAATGATTGTTTATTTATTTGAAATATTAATGTATTACTTATTTAGTGTATTGTGTCATAAGCATATGGATGTCCTGCTTTTTAAAATTTATCGTATCCGTACGTTTCCGTGTCTCGTGTCTCGTGTCCGTACAACCTAGCTTCAGGATATATGAAACTAATCCTTATACCAAGCTAATCAACTAAGGTTTTTTTTATTACCAATAAAAATAATTTATTTTTTTTAATTTGCTTTTATGTCATTGAAATAAGATATTAAGTATTTTTTATTTTATGTTTATGATTTATTATAAATGATTGTTTATTTATTTGAAATATTAATGTATTACTTATTTAGTGTATTAATGTATTACTTATTTAGTGTAGCTATTGTCCTATCAAGTGTGTAGATGTCTTAACCTTTTTTTAAAAAAATAAGTCGTATCCGCATTTCCCATGCAGCATAGCTCCTGGTATAGTGAGTATTACTCTATACACCAAACTAATAAGCCAGGATTTTTTTAATTACCAATAAAAGATTTTTTTATTACCAATAAAAAATGAAGTGTTTTTTTAATTTGTTTTTGTGTCATTAGTATAAGAAATTAAGTTTTTTTTTTATTTTGTGTTTATAATTTATTATAAATGATTATTTATTTATTTGAAATATTAACGTATTACTTATTTAGTGTACTGTGTCCTAAACGTGTGGATGTCCTACCTTTTTTAAAAATTATCATATCTCGTACGTTCATGTATCTCGTGTCTTGTGTTTGTGCAACCTAGCTACTAGTACATGAGACTACTCCATACACCAAGCTAATTAAATAAGATTTTTTATTACCAATGAAAATGAAGTTTTGTTTTAATTTGCTTTTGTGATCATTGAAATAAGAAATTAATATTTTTATTTTGTATTTATAATTTATTATAAATAATTATTTATTTATTTAAAATATTAATGTATTATTTATTTAGTGTAATGTGCCCTAAGCAAGTGGATGTCCTACTTTTTTAAAAATTATCTTTTTTAAAAATTATCGTATCATGTACGTTTCAATTTATATTTTTTAAATTGCCTTTATATATTATTTATATTAATAGTAATATAACTCACTCACTCTCACTCTTTTTTAAGCGGTGTAGATTACATATTAATTTGTTTTGTAAGAAAAAATAAAATTAATATTAAATGTATAAGTTAAAATTAAATGGCCTAGAGGATATGCTTTTTATAGATATTATCTTGATAGAGGGATTATCTGAAAATATAAAACAAACGATCATATTAAATTAAATGCTAGAGATAATCTTTTTTATAGATATTATCTTGATAGAGGGATTATCTGAAAATATAAAACAAACGATCTTTTTACAATTCTTACAATTGTGTTAAATTGTGTGAATTCTAACAGCCGTCATTCTATAATTCAAAATAATGCCAAACGGTAAACTATAATACTTATACTTGGTTTCCATATAAAGCAAACCACCATGCTTTTATATATTTTATAAATTTTATATATAAAAGCCAAAAATCTTAAAAATTGTTGTTGCTAACATAGCGAAGTATATAATTATAAAAAAAGTGAAGTTCACAGTGTCACAAAATTTTTTCTGCCAACGTCCAAGGATTAAATCATGTAACAGTTCTATTATGCAATTCCTTTCTAAAACCTTACACATAACATTACTAAATGTATATCAAATAAAATATTACTACAATTAATATATCCACTAGTGTAAATATTACATTAAAGATGATTTTAATTATATTACATTATAGCTCAATAGATGTATTAAAAATATATTTCAAACGAAGTGTAAAATTAAAAGAAACCAATAATAATTTTACAAATTGGAAAAGAATACTAATTTTACAAATTAAATGGAATTTTCAAAATCCTGTTAAATGACACATGTCCATTATTATCATATTAAGAGAAGCAACATTGTACCTTTTCTTATGAGCATAGCAAGTAAGTTGTATTCAAATTAAGTCTAAAATGTACGAGTGACAACCAGCCAAAAGTCTTTTTGTGCACAGGGGAGGGATACTGTGCCAATTTGTATTTTTTTTTTTAATTTATTAGATTATTATTATTATTATTATTCAAGTACCAAAATATTCCAAAGCAGATAAGTCCTCATTGGGTGTTGGAGCATAACAATAATTCAACCATTTGCATTTCTGTGGCCAAACTTATCACACAAACTAGAAAGTAGAAACCAACTATAAACCCAATTAATATTTTAGTTTTATTATTCTTTTGAATAAAAAATTCTTTTGGTGTCACCGTGGCTACAATGTAAAGACGGGAATTACAGTCGCGGCATAACGGTAGTTTCAACAACCGCCTCAAAGACATACAGAGGCGTTTAGAACCGCCTTTGTACATAAAAGAAACCACACCCAAAAATCTAATTTTCAGTCTAGTATACTATATTGTGAGTCAAATCTGATCTAATTAGTCTTTCACTGATGTGAAAAGTAAAAGATTTCGTGTTCGAGTCCTCTAACTCGATTTGAAAGAGTTTTTTATTAATTTAGTGAATTAAGGAGAAGGTTATCTCGTTGTATAGTGTACCGTATTATTTCGGCCTATTAAATCTCTAAATAGATAAAAAAAATTATTTCAATATGTTTAGTCTCCTAATTAATAAAAAAATGACATAAACTAGACTTTGAAATTAGGAGTATAAAAAATAGAAATAAAACTGTTGGGCCAATATATTTATTTTAAAAATACAAACAAAATTTATCAAAAGAAAAATTAAATTTTAAAAAGGTGTGGTACAGTGGACACTAAACAATAAGTAAACACCAAGCGTCTATCTGTTAGCTGTTTGAGTAGTTTTTTATAAAACGTTAAAAGCTAAACATCTTTTTATAAAACGCTATTGTATCCTTTAAAATCTAATTTAAACGCAATGTTATAGAATATTATAAAAAATAGCGTATAATCAAAATACTAAAAGCTATTTAAAAAGTTATTATGCAATTGATCTCTATTAGTTTTAGAATAGGTTATTCATAAATGGATTTGGACTTTTAACAAATATTAATTTTATCAATTCACTCTAACTGTAATTTTCTTTTTAAATTAAAATCTGGAGCATATTTATAAATAAATTTAGAAATAATCATATTAGGGTTGGAACATCTAAACTCCTATATCATGAAATAAATTTTTTAACAACTTAGTTTTGATGTAATATCTCATTTAGGATATCTTTCAAATGTATCATTTAAGTATCTCTTCATATGTCATGTACAGCGGTGTAAACAAATTGAGTTGAGTTCGAATTTACTAGATTTAAAACTTAACTCGATAGAATTTAGTTCGGCTCGAAACTCGATGAATTTAAAAATTTTATGCTCGAATAAGTATAAAATAAATATGATATATATGTGTATATAAAAGATCAATAAGACTCGACGAGCTTTTGAGTAAATACAATTAAGCTCGAGCTCCGCTCATTTGCTAAACAAGTCAACTCAAACTCAGTTCAAGTTTAATTCGAGCCGAACTTTTTCGAATTCGAGTTTAACTCATTTGCTAAACAAACTGGCTAGAGCTTAGTACAAGTTTGATTTGAGCAGAACTTTTTGCAGCTTTTCTCGCATCAAGCTCAAACACTTTGCTAATATATGAGAAGATTTTAGCATCTACCTAATATATGTAAAAAGTTGAATTCTTTCATCAATTAGTATGAGAAAGTTACATTTGATTACATTAAAAATATATTTCATAACGACTCACTAAATGAAAAATAAATCATAAATAAGGATTTGAGAATGAATAAAGAAATTAAAATCAAGCAAGAGAATTTAACAGAAGGAAATGAAACAGGAAAAAAAAAAATAATAGGGGCCATTGGCTCTATTATGTTTTATTATTTTCTTTTATTATCATTATTATTGAAATATATAGATAGGTGTGGCAGGAAGGTAGCAGAGGGTGGGCATGAGGTGGGGGATTATAATTGTCTAATAATAATAAAAAAAAAATAAGAATAATAAAATATTATATTATTTATATAAACAGATGTAATTTAATTTTTCTGGGTTTGGGAATAGTTGAAAAACAGTGAAGAAAGGCTGCAAGAGAATCCATCACCCAAACATGGTAAAGCTTAGGAACTGACTATCTACAATAAGATTCACCTTCCTTTTCTTTCCTCTCTCTCCCTCTCTCTCTCTCTCCCTCTTATTACTTACACACAAACACCTCCCTATCTGCCAACTCTCCCCACCCTGAAACACCTATTTCTCCCAATCTCCACCGCAACAACCACCGCAGCTCCACCTCCACCTGTTCATTACATTACATCTTCTAATCACAGATCTCTTTTCAAAATTCTGATTGTTCCATGTTTGGCTTTCATAGTTTGCATGGAATGTTGGGATATATATATGATTTAAACATCCTTGTATTTCTGTGTCCATCCACCGGTTAAAAGAAATATCAAACGCAGAAAGAGAGGGAGAAAGATTTTTCTGTTGATGGAGTACTGGAAAAGAAAATCTTCTTTTAGTTTCAAAACCAAACAAGCCTTTCCATTTTACTGTTTTTCTTTCTTCTTCTTCTTCTTTTCTTTTTGTGCATTCTTCACTATTATCACTTCTACTAATTGTTTAGGTAACTTTTTTTCAATAATAATTTTTTTTCTTGAACAATTTTTTAAGTAAAATCCCATTTTAATTCCCTTTCTTTGCTTTTTCAAAATGCAGGTATTAAGTGTTCATTCTCTGGTAAGGCTGGAGGCTTCCATTTTCAGGTAAACCTACACTCCGTACTACTACTGTAACTACTTTCTTCTTCTTCTTCTTCTTCTTCTTCTTCTTCTTCTACTGGTAATAATGGTTGATAGTATATTATACTTATGGAAAAAATTATTGATTTTTCTTGACAAATTATATATTTTTTTAAATAAATGCATCTATTTTTCTGCACCATTAGTATTTAGAGCAACAGAGGAAATCAATCATTTAATTAAATTGGATAATACCCAGAATAACACTAATCAGAGTACGTATATTACTATTAAACCATCCATACATAAGCATAATTATTAATTACTATTAGAGTCAAAGTTTCAAGTGACACATCATTGTGGGCTTACAGTGTTCGAAATTTTCCCAATTTCTGGTCTCCAAACGGACAATTTATACGGCTAAAATGCGCCAAAAGACAGCTGCAGAGCCTTGCCTCTAAATTCTGAGCCGTCTGATCCATCGAACCACCAACCATGATTAGGCACCATGGCTCTGCAGTGGTCCCCTTTCAAGTTTCAGATAATTTTGCGCATAATGCTACCCGGCGCATGTTAGCCACTTGTAGTTTCATTCCCTTCTTTGTCTTCTTATTCCATGAGCTCGGTGACTTGCGCCACCAGTGCTCAGCAGCTTAACTGAAACCATGTAACATTTTATGTTATGGGCGCATGCTAGCACATATTGATGTACAGTATTATTGTCACTAACTAGTAATTATTTCGTTAATTTTTTTAGGATTTTGAGGAGAAAAGAGAAAGAGAAAATATGGATATTTCTATTATTGCAGTGAGAAGAGTATTAAGTGGGCCCGGATCGTCGCCGCCGAGGTGCACCTCGAAGTGTGGGAAGTGCACACCCTGCAAACCGGTGCACGTGCCGGTGCCACCAGGAACTCCGGTAACGGCAGAGTATTATCCTGAAGCATGGAGGTGCAAATGTGGCAATAAGTTGTACATGCCATGATTGTCTATTTGAATTTTAGTTTGTTAATTACAAAAATGCTAAATACATAAAATTGCTATTGAATTTTAGGTTTATTCACGTGATACTCTAAAGTTTCCAAGAGACCTACCGTGGTGATAGTTTTATACTTTGGCCGTGTTCCACATCAAATGCTAAAGTTATTTTTTTATATTATTTGATAACATATCGTTTTAAATATTTAATTTTTAACATTCTATGAAAAGTTAATAGTTAAACGCAACTAAAGGTTTATTCGGATTAGCTGTTAACTTTTTTAGTATCATTTAATTTTTTAGCTGTTTTGAGTAGTTTTTTCATAAAACGTTAAAAGTTAAATGTTGTATGAGGTAACTTTTACAAAACGGTACCATAACTCTTAAAAGTTAATCCAAACATTATGTTACCAAATAATTTTTTAAGTAGCGTTCAATATTTTGATCAGTTAAAATGCTAAAAACTACATAGAAAGTTATTACCGAGCACATCTGAACACAATAACTAATAGTTAAATGCTACTAAAATAGCTAACAACTACCAAAATAGCCAATTTTACCGAATAGAGTTGATATATACAATTTTTTTACCCATCATACTTGTAAAAGTGATTATTTATCACAAAAATTGTAACTACATAAACGTGACAGGTTTTCTCATAAATTTTGGAGTGCACAGGAATAAAACTCTGAAGTTGGGGGTGATTTTATACTTCAGGCCATTACAAAATTGACTTCTATATTGCATGACTTGTAGCGTTGTAACTATGGTGAAAAAAAAAAAAATGTTGCCTAGTTATTAATTTTTACTGCCATGAATGTTGAGGAGGAGAGGAATATAGGGTTTATGTACAGAAGAACCATATAAAATTTTAACATTAAAAACTGAGATTTGAGTGTAGTACTGCAAAAGCATATTTGGTGAAATTAAATCAAATGCTTTAGTTGATTTAATTATGTAATAATAAAATGACCGATCCTAAATTCCAAACTAAAACCTATTGAAATTAAGGATGAGTAATTCTCGGTTTCTAGCAAAGAATCGAATTAAATTGACTCATTTCGGTCAGATTTCAATAATTATTTTAGAAATTCAGTTATTGATCGGTTTCGATATATAAAACCATTTGTTTTTCAGTTCGTAGTTCGGTTACCATATATAACTAACGGAATTTTTTGTAAGCTCAAAATAGCTAATTTGGTTTCTTTTGAGTCCCTATTTCTTTTTGTTTACAGTTTCTTTAGGCATCTGATGGCTTAGCGGATTTTGTGCTCTGAATTTGGTCTGGTGGGGTAAGTTTAAAGGATTTCAAGCTCTAGTTTTCATGGCCAGGAAGATTCAGTGATGTGGCATTTTTCTGTCTCAAGAACTTTCCGTTGTTAACTTCTTCCGTGGTTTTTGGATCAAGCTATAATTCTTGTGTATTTTTCGGATTGTTTTGGATTGATTTCACATTTTGCTAGGTTTTATGCTCTTTTCTAATGTTTTGATCTGGCTTTTTCACTTAACAGAACAGTGTGAAGTTAAATTTTGGCTATATACAGCTTATTGGCTCAGGTTTAGTGTTTGTTAACAGCAAAAGAAAAAGAAAAAAGAATAAAAAATAAACATTATCACCGATTTAATAAATGTTATCCGAAGAGTTGTGTAAATCACAATATTATTTTGGGATTGAGCTTTCCAATATTAATTTGGGAAATATTTTAGAAAAGCAGATTTACCTTACTATGGCAGACAGCAATGGGCTTTAGACATCCTAAGAGAATCAATATCAGGCCTAGCCCAAGAGAAATAAATTTCCAGGGTTGTCGTGATGGATCACGTGTGTGCTCAGTGGAGTCTTCAGGCTAGGCTTGGGTGTTCAAATTCCGTTTTAAAATTTTTTAATAAATCCATTTAATAAATTCATTTAATTTCACATTTTTGTTTGTCTATCCTCACGAACAAAACTACTAGTAATCTATTGCCAGTACGATATTTAAAAAATACGAAACTTAAAATAGCAAAAAATAAATGAATTATTAGTATTTTTAAATTAATTATATATGATTAACTTAATTTTTAATTTAATTTATTAAAATAAAATATATAAAACATTTAAATAATAAATATATAATTAACTTAATTATTGTTATGTAATTTTATATAAAATGTTGTAACATACTTAAATCGTGTTACAATTAAATGTAAATAGTTTCAAATTAACCTAAAACTGAGCTTCATGTAAAGTTTTTTTGAAAGAATTACAGAAGGGGAAAGATTTTACAAACAAATCAAAATGAAGTAATAAATTTTTTTTAATATTTATATAATTTTTTCATTTCAACGTGTCAAATGCCTATCACATTGTTTAACAAAATAAAAAATTAATTATCAAGACCAATGAATAATAATCACAACAAACAATACAAATTATAAAATAATTGATAATAAATAATACAGAAATTACATATAAATTTTATAAATGAGTGTATTCAAATTATATAAATTTATATATAGCTTCGAGATCCTTTTGAATATGAGATTTTCGGTTACTTGACAAGCATACGATAATAATATAACGAAGATTTGCTACATGGATTTTTCGATTGAATGGTAATATACATGTCATTTTCTTAAATTATGACACTATATCAAAATAGAAAGATATTATATGATAAGGTTGGTCCCAGGATCATCAACTATATATTTCAACTTACCCATAAAAATTTGTCTCGTACCTTTACAATTTATGAACTCAAATAGAGAGGAGGAAGTAACCATCAATCAGATTTTTTCTGGTTTTTTCCAACCAATTAAAAAAAAAAAAAACTATCAATTAGATGCGCTGTGTTTGACATTTCTAATTAATATAAAGAATGAGAGATTTCAATTCAATTGTTTTTATTATAAGAGTTTTTATCGATTAATGAGTCATATTCAAAATTAAATTGATTTTTTTAAACCATTTAATCAAAAAGAAAACTAAAATGAACTGATTAGACCTCAGTCAATCAATTTACATTTATTACTAAAATTTATTAAATAATGTTCAACATTATGAATATTTTTAAAATTTTTTATATTTCAAAATTAAAAAGTAAGTAAAAATTATAAAATTATATTTTCACTTAGTAAAAAATATAAATATATAATATCAAATAATAATTATAATTACAATATTGATTATAATTAAAAATGTGTATATAAATATTTTTCTTTTTGAGAAAAATAATTATTTTAAATATTTTTATAATATTAATTAAATAGATAATAGGTATCCAAGTCTTTGAATCTAACTCGAGCTCCATGAGTAATAAAAGTGTTATTAAAATCCGTTTCAAACTAATTTATTCACTACTAAAATCTACTAAAATCGGATCGGATCGAATCGAAGCGGTATGCCGTGGGTAAGGTAAAATTGTCAATCTTTGTCGGCCCGGAGTTAATAACACTGGTGCGGAGTCAGCATGGCATCCATGGGCTACAATAAGGTTGAAAGTACATGTGATGTTTAGGATTCGGGTACTTTTATTTATTGTGGGTGTGAGTACAGATGTCCCTACTCATTTTGAAGTGCAATTGCTAGGAAATTTCTCTATTGATAGCGCCTGTGACCCACGTGGCGGTTGGAAGAAATGTCGGAGTTATACGCTGCAGTCGCTAACATTGAATTTGAAATTAGTGAAAATGACTGCTATAAATTTTGTGGACATAAGGCCTTCCACCAAGTAATTTTACGTAAGGTCCCTTTTCATGATCTCTCGTGATTAAGCCTTGTCATTGCTTTGTTTTTTTTTTTTATTGAATTTGGACCAAAGATTTCAATTTTTAATCAATTTAAGCATTGACCATTTTAATTGTAGAAAAATAAAGGGAAAAGTATGGTAAGATCACTGTGAATTACGAAATACAATTAGTTTATTCATATCTTTTTAAAATAGATTAAAACATCCTTATAGTTTACTTTTGTCAGATCTTTCATTCAATTTTTACATTTTTTCCGTAAATACCTTATGAAATGACAAAAATACTGCCTTTATTTTTAAAAGTACATGGACAAAGTAGTTATATTTTTTAAACTATAGAGACCTTTACTATAATTTTTTTGATATAATATTTTAGTATCTCTCTTTTGATCTCTATGTTTTTTTTTTTTGATTTAATGGAAAAATACAAAAAAAAAAAAAGACCAAAGGATCTTATAGTACAATGGAAATAAAACATAGAAACAAATTAGTATATTTAAAAAAATAGAGAAGAATTAATTATATTTCGCAAACTACAGAAATGGGAACGTAATTTTTCCAAAATCAAAATCCAACTAATCAATTTCAGACTTATATAATTCAGGCGCTATTGGAGGTCTTAAATTGTTGGTTCACCAAATTTGAATTCCAGTATGGAATTAGAAGATGAGTCTCAAAATTTTGTTTATTAGTGCATAAAGCTATCAATATTAAAAATATTAAAATTTATGATATATTTCAATTTGAGATTGATTTCCAGCTATACCTTTGGCTGTTCCTTGATAGCATAAAATCATTTGCAATCATTGTTCCAGCTACTGATTGAAAATTATAATATTAAGCTTTTTTTTTATATTCATCTTTGTAATTAAAATGATAATTAAGCGTGACCAATTAAGTTCAGTAACAAATTAAGAAATTTTTCTTAGAAAATTAAAATGCAAAAGGCATTGGCCTTTAACTCGATTGATATGTCACTACACTGAAAACATGAACGACTCAAATTCGAGACTACTCTTATAAATATGATTAAATTAAAATAAAAATAAAAATGGATTTCTAATATATGTCTAAGTTAACATGAGTTCCATTACTTTTAAAAAGTAACTTGCAACTATTAATTCAATGTACAAGGTTCTTTCATCCATAAAGTGTTTATGGGTTGTTTTTAAAATTATGAACTTTTCCAAGTTACTTTTTGAAATAGTGAAATTCGAATATTAATTTGAATATAATTTGAGAATTATTTATATTCTAAAAAAAGTTGCACAAATTATTTTTGCCAACGTTATATCAATTATTTTTTTTATTGTTTTCTCCTTTTTTTTCTTTAAATTAGGCTGTGTCATTATTTTTTTTTTAAAATTTTAAAAGTTCTTTTTGTTTGGCAAGAGGTATCGAATTGTGTAATCTGCTAATGTTTAATTATTATTTTAGTTGTTCAATT